CATGTGTCCATCCATCCCGATACTGCCAGAACACCTCAGAGTTTAGTTATGAAGAAAGACTTCATGATATCTCTGGTAGAGTCTGGTCCACAGATCAGTGTAACAGCTCCAGTACGAACTCTTCTCTGGAGCTTAAACCTTCTTCTGAGTAAAGACACTTGTTTTATCAGTTTTCAGCTCATTGTCTCCATGTTTGTCCTGATGATGACTTCCTGTGACATCACTTTGGCCTCATTGTATCTGCTTTCTGTTCCCTCTGGTCTCCAGAGTCCTGCAGGACCTCAGCACCCACGTGGCCAAGGTGCTGGGCTCCTGTGGTCACTTCTACGCTGTGGAGTACCTCTCAGCCGGGCACGCCTGGGACCAGAACATCTTTTCCCTGGATGACGTGGCCATTTCTGAGGTTCAGGATCAGGGTGAAGGCGGAGACCGAGCCAGGTGGAAGGCCCGAGAGATGATGCACCGCATCGCGCTGAGCTTCCTGGACATGGTGTGGCACTTTGACAATGATTTCACCCACAAGCTACACCTCTGCGACATCAAACCGGAGAACTTTGCCATCAGGAAGGACCTCACGGTAAGTCCTCAGGTGTGACTTTGAACACGCTCACTCTGCTTTGTCTTTGCAGTGACTCAGAAACCACGGAGGAGGGCTGAATGGCCTTAATGCTGGCTGAGGATATAATGAACGTAAGAAGGATGAAAGCAGAGCAGGGAGCTGGGAGAAAAGAGATAAAAGGGACGTGTTTTTAGAAAGCTATTAGAGCAAAGATGGAAATCAGATGCTGGACGGCGGATTACGTGAGGTTTTTCTTGAACAGATATTTTTTTAGCTAAAGGAAGAAGATGTGACGCTGCTGCTGGGGAGAGAAGGTCATTGTGCAAACACACACCTGGGTACTTCTGTCTTTGTGAGGACGTTCACGCACATTATCAGAATCAGAAAGACTTTATTTATCCCCAAGGGGCAATTAAGATACACAGAATATACAGTATATACACAAAAGTGACTGAAAGGTGAATAAATAACTGTAAGTGAGTAAAGTGTCAGCAGTGTAAAAACAGACTAGTTTATGTTTCTGGTGTGGGAAATGTTCTTATCGGCAGGAGTTAAAAAGCAGAGCTGCTTTGGGGACAATGGTGGCGCTCCTCCTCCTCTCAGTCCTGCAGGAAATGCAGCAGAGGCGTCGCCCAGAGGGGAGGCATTGAAATGTGGGGTGAAGAATGTGAGAGGGGTCGTTGATGATTTTGGCTGCCTGTCTGAGGGCCTGTTGGCTGAAAACCTGTCAGAGTTCTGACAGGCAGGCCAATGATTTTAGAGCACACTGATGCAGTGTGCGGCAGTGTGTTCCTGTATGAAGGCTGAGATTTACCGCCCTGCAACTTGACGGACACCATTGAAATAAAGTCCAGGGTGGAGGTCGTGCCTCACAGCGTCACAGAGGGAAACGATCAGAGGGGATTTCCAGGAACGGGCACCAGCCTGGAAGCAGTCCAGATATGAACGAGGACACGGAGACCTTGGAGGGTGGAGTTTTTGGACTGTTGATGATTTTTGATGATTGTTCATTCATTCAACCCTCAAACCCAACAAGATCCCCGAACTCTGAGAAAGATGAAATAATCTCAGCGTCTTTGTTCTCGTGCCTGGAGTCAAATCCAGCGGCTGTCACCTCTGATGGATCCTCGGCCCATCAGTCACACGAAAGACTAAAAATAAAGTTTTCCATGAGCTGGAGCCAGACGTCCTCATCTCCAAGTCCCCATTAATCACCCCGTGATCAAACTTCTCATCCGTCTTTATTAATATCTGTAATGTTAAAATTAAAAGTATAAGCTTGCTTACTCTAGAATGAGAAGTGGACTTTGGTGTTTTTCCTGCGGTCATAAATCAGAGCCGGAGCGTCTGGATGGAGGGAACCGAGCAGGGTTTGTTTTCTCAGCGTTATCTGAAGCTTTTATGGTTTGTCGTTAAATCAGCAGCACTTCAGGTCGGTGCTGGACTCCAGCCAACAATCACAGCTCAGCCTAAGCTATTTTATCTCTCATTGTTCAGCCCCTGATCGCTGGAAAATGAGCAGTTAAAGGGAAAAAATGAGGCCTTTGTAGCGCCAACAAAAGTCAAGTAAAGCAGAGGCTCACAATTGTTCTCCCGGTTTTGCAGGATTAATGTTTTTCCTGTCAAAGTGCTGACATGGAACATGTTTAACTGCCCTCACTTAATAATGCCAGCACCGTAAAACCACCGTGCAGCCTGCGCTCGTTTACTCCAGGTGTGAGTGGAGTCATTTCATCTCGTTAAAAGAGATTTTTATCTGCAGATTATTCCCAGCAGACCTCCCGAGCACTGCCAGGCTCTGTGCCACAGAGACACGCTGCTGCTTACAAACTGGTAATATCATCCAGGACATCAACACACACCGCACGGCGTGACGATTAATCCACCGCAGAAAATAGTTCCAGATGATCAAAGCTGTTTGTAAAAAAAATGAAACTGCCTGTGGAAGATCTTCATCTCTGTCGGGCCAGAAGCAAACGAGCGTCCTGTCAGTGCGTCTCTCCTGCATCAGGGCTGATTTAAATAATACAGACCGGCAGATTGTTACTCCAAGAAAACCCTCCAAACTTCAGTTTGACGTCATAAATATGAAAGAAAAATCTCGCAAGCTCAGGAGAGAAAGATGTGAGTTTGAGACGATGAAAAACACTCACTGCAGTAAACGTGCTTTGAGTGGTGGAGTGACCGGAGGCCCACACACATTTAAACTGTGTGAGATTTTTATCACTCATCTGAAAAATCTGAAAAACATGTTTTCATATTTTACTGCTGGGGGACATTTGGCCTTTAAAACTCCTTTCACTTTTCCTCGGCACAAAAGAATCTCTGTAAAGTCTCATTTGAATAATAAAGACGAAAAGAGTCTTTTTGTAGTTTAGAAATTTATCAGAAGCTTTCTTTTATTTTGATTCCATGTCCTAAAAACTGGATCGAATGTAGTGGAGTGAATATTGTCAGTGGCTCATTTTTATTGGATTCTCGTCTCTTTTGTAGCAAATTAAAATTCTGATTAGTTTAAAATGTTATAATAATTTCATGATGTGTAAACATTTAAATGAACCCTAACACCACCTGTTTTCTGTTATTATAAAACCTTTGTGATGCTGATTTAATTCATTCCTTTCAGTCTGAGCTTTGAAACACTTTCTGTGCATCCGTCACAGATTGTTGCGGCAGGATTTCACTTCATGCATCTTCAGTTTTTGGTTTCTACAGAGCTCCAGATCTGCCGTTACAGCTCACACATCCAAATATCTGAAGAACTTCAGGCCTCACTGTGTTTGTGTTCAGCCCACAGAGTCCGTGTTCATAGAGCCGCAGCACCTGAAGGTTTCTGAGCTCGAGGGCAGAATTTCAGGCAGATCTGAGCTCGTCATGTGGGACACGTTTTTTATTTATGTAGCGTGCTGGGATGGCGTGAGCACATCCAGGCTGTGTGTCATGTTTTGCACCTTTGAAAATATAAGGTGTGGATAATCCTGCAGCATGGGCTCACACAGGGCGGGTGTCCTCTGGCGTGTCCTGCAGGTGGTGGCGATCGACGTGGACATGGCGTTCTTCGAGCCGAAGATGAGGGACATCCTGGAACAGAACTGCAGCAGCGACGACGACTGCAACTTCTTCGACTGCTCGTCCAGGTGTAACCTGAGCAAACGCAGGTGCAGCCCGCGCCGCAGCAACAGCAACCTGCAGGTAAGCGAGGCCCTGTGACCTCACTGTGACACTTTCAGCTTTGAGCTTTTATT